GTGATAATGACAATTCAATATTACAGGATGTGGAAGATGAACCAAATAAATTAACCAGCTGCTTTTAAGGGTGGTTCGTTCAATGGCTTACCCCTAAAATGCTTTGTAGGAAATTTGTGCTCAGTAGGTCTCTAGGCAGTTTTATTTCTAGAAGAAAGAAATGGATTTTATTAAATGGCAGTGAAATACAGGCAGATAGCTTTGTGGTAGTTAAATTAGTGTAGAATGTTTATCTTTTCTTAAAATCACCAAAACATGATGTTCCTTGGCATTCCTGCCAGAGAATGTGTTTCTGCCCCACTTTCCCATAGATTAGGGTACAGAAGCAAATGGAAAACAGATTGTTGGGTCCTTGTTTCTGTTCTGGGAGGCTCTATGTCCCCTGGAGTAACTATCATGAAGCATCCTATATGAGGACAACAAAAATAAGCTGCCATTCAAGGGGTTTGCGTGAGAGTGGGCAGACAGACTCATGGATAGAGGGTTGGAAGTGGATTGGGGAAGAAAGGCAAAAGTAAATGTTCCCTGTAAGTCATGATTCCACTCACACTATGAGGTTGTGTCATTGAAGGAGAAGTGTCAGGTTCTTCGGCTATGTGTCAGAGCAGGGTTTCCAAGATGTTTTGAAACCAACTTTCAGACTGACTTGGTTCAGAACTCATCCCCTTCCTTTTCCTTCTGCCCTGTTCTGAATGAGGGCAGGAGATACTCAAAGCAGAGCCTGGCCGCCTCAGCTTCTTCCCATAACCAGAAGCCTGCAGTCTGCAACACAAGGGCTCTGTGGAGTGAGTCTGGATTTTGTTTGCATTACAACCGGGTTTTATTGAAGATTTTCTAAAGAAACTAATGTTTTATTTTAAACAGTATGTTTATGCAAATTAATGTTAATGCATACCACATATGCCTCAGACATTTTCTTAAGTTCCAATGAACTTTTTGCTGTTTTACTGTTTCATTTAAACTATTTACCTCAATCAACCTGGTTGTTAATAAGAGAAGGAATGGATTATCATCCCCATTCATATAGTAACATTATGAAAAGAGCACACCTGTTCAGTATAGGATGCTTAGAAATATGGATAGTTGTTATAAAGTCCCCTATCAACCCCTTCTAGAATTATGGTCGCTTTGTAATGTGTTTTTCATATTTTATTATATTATATATGGATATGTATCCATGTTCAATTTCAGCGGCATCATAAGAAATACTGTTTTGTAATCTGCTCTTTATGTAATACATCCCAAATGTCTTTATGCTGATGAGTATACATATATAAAAATGGGTGCATACTCTTCACATGTCCAGCTCTGCTGTGTTGTGTCAGTCATCCCAGTTCATTGTAACTCTTACTCACTGCTCTGATTGTTTCTTAGCTTTAATTTTAGGCATGGTTTTCATAAGGACATTTCTTTTTCTTTTTGACAGCACTGGGGTTTGAAGACAGGGCCTTGCCCTTACTAGCAGGCATTCTACCACTTAAACCATCCCCTCCTGGCCCTAAGGTCTTGGGTTGAACAATGATCTGATTTATGATTCCTGCATAGGTGGGCTAATATGCCTAGCTTTTTATTGGTTGAGATGGGGTCATGCAAACTATTTTTGCCTGGTTGGCCTTGAAGTACCATCCACCCTATTTTATCCTCCCAAGCATGTGCCACCATGCCCCTCATTAGGTTATTCTTAAGATTTTGGGACCATAATGTTAAATGATCCTCTAGAAAGATGGTACCCAGTGGATTGAGGGCCACTGTTTCCTACCTGTCCCTACCTCCACCTCCAGGCTGAAGGCCTGATGGCATTGTTTTAACTCACTTCTATCTGTTGTTTCTTTTCTTTCTCTTTTATCTGTCAATTCTTCACTGTACTATTTAGCTATTTTATAAAATGTCATGTAAATCTACCCCTCCCACAAAATGGCTTAATTTTTTAAAAAAGATTCCTCATATTTTAATATTTTGTTCAGATGAAATTTTAGCAGTTCTAGATTGTCTTAGTCCCTGAATTAAAATCCCAGGGTAATTTAGTGTAATGTAAACTCTCCAGTGACTTTTGGGTCTTACTATCCAGGAACATAGTCTGACTTTCCATTTATTTAATTCTCTTTTTACAGACCTCACTGATATGTTTTTAGGTTTGTGCCTGTGGCCAGCACACATGAATCTGGTTTTTCTTCATCGAAGACTTTGAGATCTGTGGTCTTTATCATGTTTTCATCTGTGCTGATACCTCATGCATTTATGTTTATAGTATGGTACTCTCGTTCTAGAATCTTAGACTTGTACTCTGATTTCCTCTCTTACAAGGGGTCCGTCAAAGTATTAATCTTCATTTTGTTCTCCTTGTCCTTTGTTATTTATGAATAATGATGATAAGAATTAGATTTTTCTTAATCCCAGAGTGGGATATTTTATTTCCTGAGTGGTTTCTTTTCTTTTCTTCCCCCCCCCCCCAAATACAGAAGCTTTCTGCAGATGCTCTTCTGTTTCCAGTCTGCCTGCTTTCCTTCCCAGCTGGGCTCTCCACCTGGCAGTTGGGGTGCTTTCAGACTCCCTCCATCCCCCATCCCAGAATTCGCCTAAGCCTTCTTGTTTCCTGTGACTTCCTCACAGAAACAGCCCTGATTTTGAGTGTGGCAGGGATTTTTGCATTTTAGCATCTGATTGGCCAGCTGCTTCCCAGGCTAATTGTTTCTGGGCCTTATTTTTAGCTGTATTGCAGGATTTTTAACTTGAAAATTAGAATATGTTTAATTTTCTCAGTGCATTTGTTCATTATTTCTCCTCCTTGAATACTGCTTGGTTATTCCTAGGCAAAATAGGTAAGGTAGAGGAGTTTAATGCCAAGTTCTACCAGCAACCAGTTCCTTGGGATTTATCAGGCCCTGTCCATTTCTAACAAGCACTTCTGCCAGACTCAGCCCACAGGTGGAAGGTAGATGTTTTCATCTTATCATTTCCCTCTGTTTGAAAGAGTGTGCATTAGCAGCCTGGTTTTAGTGAAGTGTTACTTATTTTCTATAGCAGCAACTGTCCTCAAACCTCAGTTCCTTTCTAGTCTGCTTTATGACACTATACTGAACACATTCATCATCCCTCTGCATTTGGCTGGCCACACTGGCTTCCTAGCTCTTTGTTCTGTGTGATGGCAGAAGAGGCTAAATCAAGAAGGAAACCACCAACGCTTTCTGGCTGAATGGCAGGTGTAGGGGGATGACATCTGAGCCAGAGGGGTGAGATGAATAGCAGCCTTGGATAGATATAGGAGGTATTCAAGTTCTAACAGGAAGACTGGGCTAAAGATGGTTATAAAAATCCCTGACTCCAGGGAAGGACTCTTGCAGCTTTGGGGGTAAGGATACCTTACATGGGGACAATGGAAAGCGTCAAATACGTATGGCATATTAAAGTGACTAGATATACTTAGTTGTGAAAGTAGATACTATTTAGTTTTAAGGTTTATTTTTCTTTTGTGTCCCTTCTGACTATAGAAGCATAAACTTTGAGAAAGATATATAGGAAGTACAAATAAAATGTGAATTTACTCATCCTGTGTTACATTTTCTCCTCTACTTTTCTGGAGCTGAGAGATGTTGAATATGTGAATATGAACCAAATTTGTTTCTACAGATAGGAGTTGAAAATTTTCCTTATGGGATCTGTTATTAGCATTTGCTTTTAAGGGATAAACATGTATTTTAGGGTTATGTGCCATGAGTTATACATTGTGTGCATGTATTTTCATAAAGAATTTAAAAGGGATGTACCAAGAAAAACATTTTATTGTGTATCTTCATCAGTATTAAAGTTTTGGCCAGTTATATTTGCATTTAAATTTTGCCATGGGTTTTTAATAGATTCTTCCTTTAAAATAAAGACTCTAAGCCAGGTGCTAGTGGCTTATACCTATATTCCTAGCAGCTTGGGAGGCTTAGAATAGGAGGAGCACATTTCAAGGCTAGCCTGGTCAAACCAGTTCAGGATACTTTTCCAGCCAATATGTGGACACAGTGGCATGCTCCTGTCATCCCAGTCTGTATGGAAGGCACAGATTGGGAGGATTGTAATGCTGAGTCATCCCAGGCAGAAAATTCCAAGAGAGACTCCCAGCTCCACCGTAAGTAACTGCACATAGTAGTGCATTCCTATGATCACCTAGAAATAATCAGGGTAAAGCAGGCATGGCTCAGTGGTATCCTGCCAACCTAATAACGGCCAGGGTCCTGAGTTCACATACCCAATATCATAAATCTCACCCCCTCAGGGGGCGGGGAACAAAACAAACCCTAGCTATGATGATATATTTTTTTTAAATGCTGGTCCTGGGATTTGAACTCAGGGTCTGAGCACTGTCCTTGAGCTTTTTTGCTCAAGGCTAGCACTCTACCACTTTGAGCCACAGCACCACTTCCATTTTGCTGGTGGTTAATTGGAGAGGAGTCTCATGGACTTTCCTGCCTGGGCTGGCTTTAAACTTTGATCCTCAGATCTCAGCTTCCTAAATAGCTAGGAATACAGGCATGAGCCACCTGTGCCCTGCTTTATATGAACTTTTTAAAGATGTTTGATCCCAAAGCAAGTATCTTATTTTGTGATGCAAATTACTGATCAAGAATCATTGTCAAATTGTTTGTTTTGGGTTAAAATGGAAAACAGATTGCTTCTAATTATTACAATTTAATCTGTGACTAATTGAGTTTTCAGTGAAAACCTTTGAGGTTCTGATTTATCAATTTACACAATAAATTAATTTCTAGGCAATCATCTGAAGAACTTTTCTGCAGTCTTAATCTTTTATCAATGTTCATTCTTTTCTGTGAATCTTGATATTTTGGTGCCATCTTGTGGCTTGGCTTTGTAGTAATGTCAACACAAATCCATTTTTAGACTAAGACCTGGACAGTTTAAGATAAGTTGAGAATTTTTTCCAAAATGCATATGAACTACTAAGCACATGTTGATAAATGTGGTTCTAAATCAGTATTTATGCTGTTGGTTCCTAGTTGCTGCTGTTTGAACGATCTTGGATGAACAGATGGAAGTCATCAGTTCTGCATGAAGGGGAAGGGAACATCCGGAGTGTGAAGTGGAGAGGCCATCTGATTGCTTGGGCCAATAATATGGTAAAAGTCCATCTCTGTGTTCTTAACACTTGTTCACGGCAGAAGTGTGGCCAGGTCGATAGCTCTGCACAAAGAAGAAGATGCTATGTGCTATGGTGGTCATTTCTGAAGATGCAGATGGCTGTTGATAATAATATACCTGGAAGGTTAAAGAAGCCATATTGCTTTTGGCTTTCCTAGTATAGAAATTCCTAACCTATTCTTTTTTTTTTTTTTTTT